ACATGTCTAGGTGGCTAGCTAAAGACAACTTCATTACATGTCTAGGTGGCTAGCTAAAGACAACTTCATTACATGTCTAGGTGGCTAGTATTACAGAGAAACTACAACAACATGTTTGTTTTTATTGATTCATCAAGAAGGAATAAATTAGCTGCATAGTTTGATCAAATGAATGTACACACATACGTCCTGTGAGATCCATCATCCCATCACTGGCAGCTACAGCAGCAGGCACCTATAAACCTCATTGTTGAATTAATTAGGCCTATGTGCCAATGTCGGAAGAATCTTTCTGTCAATAACAGACAGTCATAATGAGTCACGTAAAACATGTCCAAAACTCAACTCGCACTTACGCAACTACACTTTACATGGCCCCAATCAGGTAAAACAAATATTTGCATTAAAGTATACATTTGGTTTGAAGGATCAACACAACTGGAAGGATTATTGACTCTTTGTGAAATTCACATCAACGGGGTTTCACGCACAGCTGTGGCTTTGTTTTTGTTATTTCTGAAGAAACACACACAGTGGTAGTGTTAGCTGTGTTACTATGGCACAAAGCTGGAGGGCAGTAAATACTGATTAACTTGACAGATTGTGACCAGCCTCAGCATGGTACCATGAATTGTTCTGTGTTCCTTCCACCTTCTTGGCAGTGTCCCAAATGGCCCCGTATTCCCTATATAGTAGGGTCCTGGTCAAAAGTAGTGCACTAGCTAGAGAATAGGGTGTCATTTGGGACGCAACCCTTCAGTGACTTTAGGATTTGCACTCAGTTTTATAGACCTCACCATATAGTTCTGTGTTAAGATAAATCAAGTCCGTGTGAATAAAGGTGTTAATAAAGGTGTTAATAATGGTGTTAATAAAGGTGTTAATAATGGTATTAATAAAGGTGTTAATAATGGTGTTAATAAAGGTGTTGATAATGGTGTTAATAAAGGTGTTAATAAAGGTGTTGATAATGGTGTTAATAAAGGTGTTAATAATGGTGTTAATAATGGTGTTAATAAAGGTGTTAATAAAGGTGTTAATAAATGTGTTAATAAAGGTGTTAATAGTGGTGTTAATAAAGGTGTTAATAATGGTGTTAATAAAGGTGTTAATAAAGGTGTTAATAATGGTATTAATAAAGGTGTTAATAGCGGTGTTAATAGCGGTGTTAATAAAGGTGTTAATAATGGTGTTAATAAAGGTGTTAATATCGGTGTTAATAAAGGCGTTAATAGCGGTGTTAATAAAGGTGTTAATAATGGTGTTAATAATGGTGTTAATAAAGGTGTTAATAAAGGTGTTAATAACGGTGTTAATAAAGGTGTTAATAATGGTGTTAATAAAGGTGTTAATAAAGGTGTATTGTGTAATACCTTATCTTCGTCTTAACTGGGTCCGTGCTGACGAATACAACTCTTTCCAATGGGAGATAGAATGTCATTTTCAACGGACAAAACAACAGTCATCTGAAGGATAGGACACTTTTTTTTTCTCCAGGGAAACAGTAGGTTTATGATGCTGAAGTTGCATTGAGTACCCGTAATAGCCCATTTCAATCAGTATACCACCCTGGTAGACCAGGCAGAGGGTTGACATTAAGACTACAGCGATATAAGAGCGTGACAACATGTTGTATATGTCTGCAGAAAGCCAAGGCATGCGAAAGAGGGCAAATGATCTCTTTGCATGCAAACCGCTAACCACGTTTAGGCTGGGCCCGGCTCACGCTCCACACATAACCACCATATTTCCAAATGAAACAGATGTGTTCTCGTTGCATAACCCCAGAACTCAGGCAGCTGCCTGCTGCCTTTCCTGGCAACCAATCATAGGCTCCCATGCAGGCAGGAAATCATCCTGCATCTCCAATCAAAAGTAACATTAAAGTAACATTCCGCCCCATAGGCCATTCCCTGGTCAGTAATTTTTAACAGTATTGGTGGAAAATACATTATTGTTAGCGAGTCGACTGACTTGTTCCTTGTCGTGTTATGTTTAGACTGGAGTGTCCGGAGAAACTCGACTGTGATGAGTGTCTGTACTCATTAACATTGCAGACTCCCTCTGGAACATATTCCCTGTCAAACGTTTTTTTTTTTTGCTTTCATAAGAGGTGTGTTTCGTAAGATCAATAACTCCACATGTATATATATATATATTTTGGGGGGGATTCTGCATTGTTGGGAAGGGCCCGTAAGTAAGAATTTCACTATTAATCTACACCTGTTGTTTACAAAGCATGTGACAGTTAAAAATGTGATTTGATTTGAAATATTTGCCAAGCATAATTAACTGTCATTCAGATCATGAAGCATTCCAGGACTTATTCAGGCCTATGTGTGAGCTAAGGGAAACTAACCCTGGAGCGTTCCATTCATACTTGGCCTGATGGTCAGTCAAGGACAGGACCCAAGTACCAGCTCGTGAAATTGAGGATGAAGTCAGTTGGAATTACAACTTCATAAAAACAAGCAAGCGCCCCAAACACCATGTAAAGGTGGTCTCGTAAACCCTGACACAGGTCTTGTCAGTTCTTGTGACACTTTGGCGTTTCAGTCGCCAGGAGACTAGGCTCAACAAATTCCCTTTGGAGAACATCCTCAGATTCTCGAAGAACTGGACATTGATTCACCTCAGTAGTTCCGCTTAGTGATTTGTACTGTTAGTGGACTGAGACCTGTTGGTTTACCCATCATGCTACCTGATATGTACTGTTAGTGGACTGAGACCTGTTGGTTTACCCATCATGCTACCAGATATGTACTGTTAGTGGACTGAGACCTGTTGGTTTACCCATCATGCTACCAGATATGTACTGTTAGTGGACTGAGACCTGTTGGTTTACCCATCATGCTACCAGATATGTACTGTTAGTGGACTGAGACCTGTTGGTTTACCCATCATGCTACCAGATATGTACTGTTAGTGGACTGAGACCTGTTGATTTACCCATCATGCTACCAGATATGTACTGTTAGTGGACTGAGACCTGTTGGTTTACCCATCATGCTACCAGATATGTACTGTTAGTGGACTGAGACCTGTTGATTTACCCATCATGCTACCAGATATGTACTGTTAGTGGACTGAGACCTGTTGGTTTACCCATCATGCTACCAGATATGTACTGTTAGTGGACTGAGACCTGTTGGTTTACCCATCATGCTACCAGATATGTACTGTTAGTGGACTGAGACCTGTTGATTTACCCATCATGCTACCTGATATGTACTGTTAGTGGACTGAGACCTGTTGGTTTACCCATCATGCTACCAGATATGTACTGTTAGTGGACTGAGACCTGTTGATTTACCCATCATGCTACCAGATATGTACTGTTGCTGGGTATGCTGTCCTAGGGTGTACTAGCTTACTATACTCACTCATGTTCTCATGGCATGGGTGTAGCCCTCAGCTCACAGACCGGGACAGCACAGTAGAGAACCCACAAAAACACACTCCAGTTACACACTAGCTGCCAATATGGCTGAAGGATGTGTTATTTGGAACAAAGTATTATTTCTTCTTCAGTCTAGCTGCTCCTTGGACAACCATTATTACTTAGTTGTTTGAAAAGTTCAGAAATGCAACTTTGGACAAAGATTTAAGAAAACGTTGTGGACTTTCAATTGACCGACACATGTAAGCTACATTTAGTTTATCTGTAAAATGATCATTAGTTAGATGTCCCAATGTTTTCTTGCAAAAAAAAGCATTAAGCTTTAAGATGTAAGCCTACATGTAAATTATTCACTTTTGCATAATTACTCTAAGATCTTAGATAACTTAAACCAAATAGCAGTGGGTCTTGAAGCTCTTATACCCATGGCTAACATGAGTTGTTGTTGCAAGTGGTCAATGTATGCGAAATAGTTAAATGATATAATCGTGTTACTCTCCATTTAGATTGCAATACAAGAACAACTGAAAGGGAAACAACATAGCTTTAGTGTAAACATAAGGTTTATTGCAAATGTGCATTTTGCATCCATTAAATCATTTTTTTATATATATATATACACCTGTTTCATGGACACAATACAGCAACGATACCCAACGTTTAGCAAAAAAACATTACTGCTAACAAGAGTTCTCCCTGTGAACGATGTACACATGGTCCGGGTTGCTTGGTTTAGTTTGGAGTAGTAATGAGACAAAAGTCTTTGGTAGTTAGAAAACACAAAGTCCATTGTGGAAATATGGTATTCCTCTGGAGATAGGCGCTACGGTCATGCCATTGATTCAAGTTGAGGTTGGCATCTGAACAGAACACGTCTGCCAGGTCAGGATTGCATTCGCAGCTTTTAGAACATCAGCCGGTCAAATTCATCTCCAGCCCACTACTCTGAACACGTTAGTAGAATGGACAGAGCTAGGCAAAATGGGTAGTAGATACTTCCATCCCCATAATAAATCATTTAAACTGAACAGTTACAATGCTCCTATTAAGTATTCCACTTTGTTCAGAATCACAAAACAAAGTGTAAATTAGCAGGATTTTCCCCCATAAGCAGCACAACCCAAACTGCAGATAATACAAGCAATGATGTTCTGAATCATGATTACGGTAATCAGTTATCACCAGTGAGGTTGAGATAGAGAAGCAACAGGCCTCTCTCTCTCTCTCCCAGCAACAGTCCAGCATCTCCTAGAACCTCTTTCCCCTCTACTCTTTCTGCTGGAGCTCAGGTTTGGTTTCCTTTTGACATGTTGCTTCTTAAGGAATATTGACAGAGAATATCAGCAGATGGTGATAGGTGGGAACAGTCATAAGATGGTTGAGATATTCTCGGACGGACTCCTCAGAGCTTGTACTATCAGAAGTTAGAAGAAGAATTCCACATGGGCGGTCTAGTGGAGACTGGAGGGCCGTCTCTCTGTCTGTCTTGGAGAAGATTTCCTTTTTCCTTGGCTGGACCAGGAGAGGTAAAAATGGAGGACGGGCCACTCTGGCATGGAGAGGCATCCACAGGATCAGGTCCCCGGGCCAGCCCTGTCTCTTAGCCCTCTCCCCCCTCTGTAGCAGGGGTGGTAGAGAATGGCTGAAGGGTTGGCCCTCCTGGCCCCAGAAGGCCGGAGCCTCCCCTCTGTCCCAATGCGAGCGCTCTCCGGCTGGCTACATGAGCCCTCTCGTTTAGCGCTTTTGTCTAAAGAGAAATAGTCTAGATGTCGTAGGACGGGCTTCTCATAGCTTATCGCCTCAGCCTACAGCCGCTAGCTAGAGTCTTTTCATGTGCTTCGTTCGTCAATTGTGTTTCATCATCTGTTACAGACAGCTTCACTGAAGTTGGCAGCGACGATTAGTTTACAACTGGAGTTCCAAGGCAGAGCCACCTATACCGCAGAGCCAGCGCTGATGGGGCAGGACTGGTCAGGGTTATGGAGTCCCATCTGGGCTTGTTGCTGGTACTGCTGGAGTTGGTACTGGTTGTCCAGCTGCAGGGGGACCAGAGCGTCGGGGTCGGACTCGGAAGGAACCCGTTCCCGGAAGCTCTCCATCTGTTCTGGACTGGCCAGGTTCTTCAGAAGGCTGTTCTCACGTTCTAGCTGATTGTTCTTCTCAGCCAGCTCTCTGATCTGCTCCTTGAGGATCTCTACCTCCTCTCTGACCGCGTACATCAGGTGGTTCTTCACCAGATCCTAAGATAGGAGAGAAGGAATGAGATCTACTGTTAGAGAAGTCTGTTTACATTTACATTTTAGTCATTTAGCAGACGCTCTTATCCAGAGCGACTTACAGGAGCAATTAGGGTTAAGTGCCTTGCTCAAGGGCACATCGACAGATTTTTCACCTAGTCGGCTCGGGGATTAGAACCAGCGACCTTTCGGTTACTGGCACTACGCTCTTAACCACTAAGCTACCTGCCACCCGCGTTTAGAGAGAGAGAGAGAGTTCTTTGCAACTCATACAAACTAACCATAAATCTATCAATGTAGTGTGATTTATAGCATAAGCTTAACCTACTGTGCCTTACAAAACACTTGTAGTAACTTGTAGCAACAGGCCATATGGATACAGAGATTTGTACCCATATGGCCTGTATTAAGGTCTAAAGTTTATCAGTAAACTAAATATTGAATAGTCTGACTGTTGTTTCTGCCTGCCTCCCTGTCTGACTCAGAAAGCAGCAGAAAGAACATAGTCACATGCCACATCACGTGTATTTAGCGTGTACTACTGTAGCCATGCAATGCTGCAGGCACATAACGTTCCATCACTCCAGTATCCCTGCACAATGTAAATATGGTATTTGAACTGACTTTTTTAAAAATATTTCATGTATATAGTATGCTTTCATATTTCTTATTCTTATTTCTCGTGTGTTTTTCTTTCTTTCTAGTAATACATTGTTATTGATAATTGCATTGTTGGGTTTTGAGTTAGCAAGAAAGGCATTTCACTAAACTTGTGAATGTGACATTTAAAACTTGAAGCTTCTACTGTACTATACTTGTAGTTGAGTAAAGATTAGTCTGCTATGATTACCAACGTATAGTATATGATTACTATGGGCAAAGTGCATGAATGTGGTGGGATATGGAATAGCCCAGTCTACTTTTAAGGGTTACTGGCTTACTATGAATGATGATATGAATGATAAAGTGTATAATGTTGCTGCTGATACATACCATTGCCTGTTCTATCTTGTTGTCAATGGCAACAACGCTAGCACCCGAGGCACTGTGAAGGAGAGAAGAAGTTAAGTCAACATATCAAATCAGAGCATTGGATCACAACAAAAACAAACTGGTGGCCTACGATGCTCTCATACATTTACATTTTAGTCATTTAGCAGACGCTCTTATCCAGAGCGACTTACAAGTTTGTGAGTGTATACATTTGTCATACTGGCCCCCCGTGGGAAACTAACCCACAACCCTGGCGTTGCAAGCGCCATGCTCTACCAACTGAGCTACAGGAGGCCCTACACACAGATGCTGACACCAGACTGCCTTTATGGCACCAGATCCAGCACCAAGATAACTTATTTTAAGTATTTTGAGATGCAGTTGCCATGTAATGCCATCATCACAAATGTTTGTTTAATTTGTGTTTAGGCTATGTGTGTCCATGAATGAACCTAGCTACAACTTCTAACCTATTTTAGATTGGGCATGTGTATGACAAAACCAGCCTGCCTGCACCACCCTTGTTCTACAACTGTGCATTTTTTGTTGTTGTTGCAACCTAGCTAGATACATTATTCAGCGCTGCAAAGGATGACATAATATTGATTACTTTGTATCGAGATTGTTTCAAGATACTCCATCCACTTTTATGTGTTTGAAGACGCATATTGGAGTCGCATAAATTGCATTACTCCGACTGCACAGCATTAAGGTATTTCTAATTATATCAATTCGAATCCCGGCATTACCTGGCTTTGTTTAGTCTATTTGCAAAGAAATAAATATGACTCTCAATCTCGAATTACAACAATTTTGATTAAATATTTGAATGAAATCTATTACGCACAAATTACACATCAATAACACACTAAATCAGTACGGCTATCTATTTACCTGTTGTCGAGTTTTACAGACACCACATCTCCTCCTACTAACGAGGAGAAGAAGGAGATGCTGAAGTTATGCAACTGATAGACAGCAACCTCCATTGGCGTTTGGAAGATCTCCGTACTCATGTTCAGCACCAGACCCGTTTGGAAAATGCTTCTCGCCACGTTTGCGATTGGTTGAGTAGATTAATCTACCTATAGATAAAAATCCGGGGTTACTGTATTCAGCTTAATCACTCGACTGACTGCACGACTCGATTCGGTTGCTTCTGTCGTGAGTTGCTCTAGGTTGATGCCGGGTGATATGAGCCACGTTCGGTTTCAGGCGACTGATTCTATTTTTGCCACCGGAGACACTTATAGCAGAACTGTCTCCTGACGTCACCTGACGCTAGAATAAATTATGCAAATGAGCCTTGGCATGAGTTCCCATCTGCCCCCTTTCTGAACTCCTACAAACACAATAAGCGCTCAGTTGACCCGCAGACCGAGTTAACTTACACCCTGAAGCAAATAGGCAAAATAAATGCACAAAAAAAAAGGTGTGTGCTTATGGTTTTTTCCGCGCATTTTTTAAGTAAAAGGTTTTGGTTGTATAACATGTCATATACAGACTAGGAATAACTGTTGGTTTGTTATTTTCGTTGATGTTTTGCATCAGCTGATAATACTTTTAAGGGAACGCTACAACTGAATTATGTATAATTATTATCGTATATTATACCTATGTATTGCTATTTTTCATTCAATCATTCATTTGTCAGGGACATGTGCAACAGTATGTCGAGATTATGAAACGGCTAGCCTATAGAGGCAAACTAGAATCCGGATATATTGAATGCACTAATAACTCATGCATTATTGGTTTATAACAGGATGTCTACATACTGTTTGTTGTTTTGAGTCGGTGTTATCTGCAGGTGCGATAGTAGAAGAAATTACAGCATGTTCCAAACAGAAGTTTTTGGGGAACTCCTTTCCACCCACTGCAAGGCTCTGGGAGTTTTCCTTCCTCTACTCTAGAACTCTGCTACCACCTGGTGGCGAGAGTTGAAGTTTCACTTCTTCATAATATTTAATTAAAGGTGTCATATTTTAAGGAGGACAAATAACCAGCCTACTTGGGGGAGCATTTAGGATTTTGATGCATGGAATTAAAAATATATTAGAGCTAATTTGTAATGTGCAATGTGTTTTTTTGTTGTCCTAAAAGGCTCTCCCTATCAGGCAAGAGTTTCAGCATAAGAACATCTTATAGGGGTCAGTATTGTAATAATTATTGGTCATTTAGCAGACGCTCTTATCCAGAGCGACTTACAGGAGCAATTACGGTTAAGTGCCTTGCTCAAGGGCACATCAACAGATTTTTCACCTAGTGGGCTCGGGGATTAGAACCAGCGACCTTTCGGTTACTGGCACAACGCTCTTACCCACTAAGCTACCTGCCTCATCCATAGATGCACCATAATAGCTGTCTTGTTGCTACGTGCATTCACTATATAGCAACACAGTTATAACTTTAACACCTCCATCCAACACCACGTTGTGTTGCTAATATTAGTTCATATAAGAAAAGTAAGGTGTACTGTAAACCATTTTGTGAGGAAGGAAGTAATTTGTTCTGTAACCCTCCGATCCAATTAGCAAGGGGTAGTCCCAGTGGTCATGGCTTAGTACAGGTATTTAAAAAAAGGTGTACTGTACTGTTTCCTATTTAAATACTGGAGAGCGAGAGAGCGAGAGAGAGAGCGGGAGAGAGAGAGAGGGAGAGAGGGGGGGACAGGGAGAAGGGGAGAGAGAGTGGGGGGGGGGGGGGGGGGGGGGGGGAGGTGCATTTCTTGTACCTCTCACCATGAGAATGTAAACAAAGTACTGGTGTTTGACCAACAATGAGTTATCCTACTGTATTCACCTCAGCCACATTACCCTCAGTCCTCCTAGCGTTTATATTCACCTCAGCCATATTACCCTCAGTCCTCCTAGTGTTTATATTCTCCTCAGCCACATTACCCTCAGTCCTCCTAGCGTTTATATTCACCTCAGCCATATTACCCTCAGTCCTCCTAGCGTTTATATTCTCCTCAGCCACATTACCCTCAGTCCTCCTAGCGTTTATATTCTCCTCAGCCACATTACCCTCAGTCCTCCTAGCATTTATATTCTCCTCAGCCACATTACCCTCAGTCCTCCTAGCATTTATATTCTCCTCAGCCACATTACCCTCAGTCCTCCTAGCGTTTATATTCACCTCAGCCACATTACCCTCAGTCCTCCTAGCATTTATATTCTCCTCAGCCATATTACCCTCAGTCCTCCTAGCATTTATATTCTCCTCAGCCATATTACGCTCAGTCCTCCTAGCATTTATATTCTCCTCAGCCATATTACCCTCAGTCCTCCTAGCATTTATATTCTCCTCAGCCACATTACCCTCAGTCCTCCTAGCGTTTATATTCTCCTCAGCCACATTACCCTCAGTCCTCCTAGCGTTTATATTCACCTCAGCCATATTACCCTCAGTCCTCCTAGCGTTTATATTCTCCTCAGCCATATTACCCTCAGTCCTCCTGGCATTTATATGCTATAAGGGAAACTGTCAGCCAGCGTCCATTGAGCTAAGTGGGCTCCAGCCTAAAGGGACCAGCAGGATCTATGACTCATTACAGAGCCTCCCGAATGGCACCATATTCTCTATATAGTGCACTACTTTTGACCAGGGCACATAGGACTCTGGTCAAGAATAGAGCACTATGTAGGGAAAAGGGTGCCATTTGGGACACATCCCTGGATCTATGAGTCATGATACAGCCAGCTAGACGTTGAACCAGACTTTCCATCAGATGTCCTGGTCTGAAAGCCAAGCAAACACATTCTAACAGATTTAGTCACTGTGATCTGGATCCCCATGGTGACCTCCAGAGGCCCAAGGCTTTGGATCCCCATGGTGACCTCCAGAGGCCCAAGGCGTTGGATCCCCATGGTGACCTCCAGAGGCCCAAGGCTTTGGATCCCCATGGTGACCTCCAGAGGCCTTTGGATCCCCATGGTGACCTCCAGAGGCCTTTGGATCCCCATGGTGACCGCCAGAGGACCAAGGCTTCGGGATCCCCATGGTGACCTCCAGAGGCCCAAGGCTTTGGATCCCCATGGTGACCTCCAGAGGCCCAAGGCTTTGGATCCCCATGGTGACCTCCAGAGGCCTTTGGATCCCCATGGTGACCTCCAGAGGCCCAAGGCTTTGGATCCCCATGGTGACCTCCAGAGGCCCAAGGCTTTGGATCCCCATGGTGACCTCCAGAGGCCCAAGGCTTTGGCACTGTGTACTTCCCTAAATAATGCACTACTTTTGACCAGAGCAGGGCTTTGGTCAAAAGTAGTGCACTGTTATATTTAGGACGTAGGATGTAGCCCAGAGGGAACTATGAGTTTCACATTATGTGGAAAATAGACAGACAGACCATTAAGTATATGGAATATCCTGTGCTTACCGTTCATGAGAAAAATCATAACTAATCATCCTGAAGGTAAGCCTCTACGATGCAGAGAATAGCATAAATGCATGGACTGACAAGTGGGAGTGAGACACACAATGAACACCAAATCACAAGCCATCCGTTTGTCACCCAGAGAACAGGGAAGATGTCTCTGACAGACTCTTATTCTCTGTAAACACAATGTATGTTCTTCACCCATAGACAATGGACCCACTGTCCTACTGGAATCAAAACAAGGGTCCAGAAAGAAGAACAATGACAGTGTTCCTTTCTTATCAAACACAATGGTTCAGTATTTTATATACAGACAGAAGTATTTTACTACGATATACATCCAGACTTCCAGATCAATTTTATTAAATGTTGCAGAGGAATATAACTTCCCCAGTGATTATTAACCGGTTACAAATCAACCAAATGTCCACCTTCCCTACTCTTCCTGACTGTCCCTGTACCTTCTCAACAAATCAACCAAATGTCCACCTTCCGTACTCTTCCTGACTGTCCGTGTACCTTCTCAACAAACCAACCAATCCCCTTTATCTTTACAATGTAATGTCACATTCAGCCATCCACACGCTCCGAACATGTTCCCGAACACCCTCCGACCACGCTCTGAAAACGCTCTGAACACACTCCGAACGTGCTCCGACCACCACTTACCGCCGATACCCCCTCTGGGACAGACTAGGTGAGTAGGGGGGTTGGTAGTGGTAGTTCATGGCTCTCGCAACGCTGCTCAGACGTCTCTGTGTCTGCAGTGGGGCTGGGACGGCAGCAGACGGCTCGGCTAGTCGCTGGATGGTTTGCTGGGCTGGCCCAGGGGGTTGGAGAGGTGGTCTGCCTCTGGCCTGGCTAGGGAGTGGGACAACGCGGGGATGCGACCAACAGGCTCCCATCCCAACGACCAACCAACGAATGAGAGGATAGTGGAGAGACAGGGATGCTTTCACTGTTCTATTATTCACCATTGTTTCTGTTTTTTCAGCGATCTCTCTCTCTCTCTCTCTCTCTCTCTCTCTCTCTCTCTCTCTCTCTCTCTCTCTCTCTCTCTCTCTCTCTATCTCTCTCTCTCTCTCTCTCAAAGCACAAAGAGAAAACTGACGAGGATACCTCTGGATGTTGGCCAAGGCCTATGCACAACGTAGCACACAGTGGCACTCATCACGGGATGTTCCAAGGCCGTATTAGGACCATACCGTCAGCAACCATTCTCACGCAACAGCTGTCCATGCACTGAATGTGAACCTCATTCACAATGAGGTAGAATTCTTTAAATTGAAACATTTCTCAAATGTTTTATCTAGTGATTACTGATGGAATCTTTTGTGACACAGACTGGAATTTTAACGGCTTAAATTCTCTAACTGTCTCATAGATGCATAGCTAATCGTCATACTGATCTCTATGGTTGAATTAAACCCTGTTTGTGATTGTAATAAACCACTAGTCTTTCATTATTCTGTGACACGGAACATGTAGCCAACCTCTGCAGTATGTTCTTATATCAAAAGGTCAGGGTTTTTCTCAAGAGATGAGTCAATCCAGTTAGACAGAAATGGGACTTGCACAGTTTCATTTGGCAGTCTTTTTGTACCTGGGCAAAAGGCTAATAAAAATATTGAGTACTGGAGCTACAGTTGTTATTCACATTTAAAACAAGTTGAAGCAGGACATGTCGAAAAACAAGGGC